TAAGGGCTAATTACATCCACGATAAAGACGTTACAAATAAGTTTCCAAAAGAAGAGATGGAGATGTCGAGGTCAAATCTTCAATCTTTAGGATTCTGCCTGTTGCCGAAACAGATTAATAGATTTAAGATTTGTATCTTATTTCCAAAACTGTATAATATACTCTGCTCAACAAAAACCAAAGTAAATATAGGAATTAACAATTACAACCGCGAAAAGAAGAGACTGCGATATAGTTGGTAGCAAAAAGAAAACTTTTCTTTCAGAGCAAGTGATAAAGCTAAGAAAGATTTAAAATACCGCAAAAATACTATGAATAAATTCTATTCTATAATTCCCTTCTTTGGCTTCTTGTCGACTTGCCGTGATGTGCTGCCACGCGAGACTTGCTTTTCCAATAAGTTTATTTCAAGAACGCGAATAAGTTAGCACAAAACCTCAAACTTGGGTAATTAAAACCTAGTACAACATCATAAAACGAAGCACACGAAATTAGAAATTACTTGCAAAATCATAAAACATAGCATACAAAATAAAACACTAAGATCGTTGGTAGAGTTAATCGCTCCCAACTTGAGCTTCTTTCCCAACCCTGCCTAATCCGGTTAAATAGTTGCCTTGAAACTGGGCTGGGTTGATAGTCTCTTCAGGTCATACCCAGCCAGTATCGACCTGCTCCACGATATCATTCAATAGACAGAGGCCGCTTCCCCACAGCTGAATTAGACCCGCTAATCCTGGTTTCTTGCTCCCCGTTTTTTTTTTTTTTATCGTTTCAGATTGTCCTCCTCCTTCCTTTCAAGCTTGGGAGCGTTCGCTAGAGGCGACAAATACATAACGTTTACACCAACCAGCTATTTGTAGCAGTCATCTCTTTTCTAAAAAGAAAGCAAGACGAAAAATTTAGTTATTAATTAACAAGTTGCTTCGAAGAAGAGTAGTAAAACTGGAGAACTGAATGAACAATAGCTAATACATGAAAGCAGACGACCGTTAGCAGTGACGGCGGGTTATCGAAACTCAGCAAACAACCCGCACTCAAGTACGGGTGTCTAAAAGAAGCGAAGTGATAGAGTATCGCAAAATAACATTGAGGTCTCTTCGTTCCCTCAA